TAAAGCTCTCTCCACACTATCCCTATCGAACACTCCCAGGACAGGGCCAGCACGGTGTTAGATAGAGAGTAAAGCTCTCTCCACACTATCCCTATCGAACACTCCCAGGACAGGGCTAGCACGGTGTTAAATAGAGAGTAAAGCTCTCTCCACACTATCCCTATCGAACACTCTCTGGACAGGGCCAGCACGGTGTTAGATAGAGAGTAAAGCTCTCTATCCCTATCGAACGCTCCCAGGACAGGGCCAGCACGGTGTTAGATAGAGAGTAAAGCTCTCTCCACACTAGCCCTATCGAACACTCCCAGGACAGGGCCAGCACGGTGTTAGGTAGAGAGTAAAGCTCTCTCCACACTATCCCTATCGAACACTCCCAGGACAGGGCTAGCACGGTGTTAGATAGAGAGTAAAGCTCTCTCTACACTATCCCTATCGAACACTCCCAGGACAGGGCTAGCACGGTGTTAGATAGAGAGTAAAGCTCTCTCTACACTATCCCTATCGAACACTCCCAGGAAGTGAGTTCTACGTTATGTTTGATATTCGTGTTACTGTGAGTATTGCTTGTTTCACTGTTGTTTGTTGTGTTTGTGCAGCTCCCAGTATGCAGTACAGTCGGAGCCTGGCCTGTTTGACCCCTGACCTCGCTGAACACCTTCTCCTGCACATGATCAACCAACGATTACTTCGGCCCAAATCCATTGAACTCTTTTTCGGATGCCAGATCCAGAAACTCGTCCTCAACTGTTATCCATACGCTACCAATGACCTGCTCCGGCAGCTACGAGCCTTCCAGTCTCTCAAATACCTCAGCCTCACATCCTGTCCTCTCATCACAGGTACTGCTCCAAATCTTAACTCTTCCACATCTCCTTGTGCTACTGCCCCACCGTCTGCTTCCAAACCCTCTTCCTGTCCCGCAGGGGCATTTTAACAGTGGGCTAATGTCTCTTGGCTTGAGATCCAATGGTCAAAGCTAATTTTCTGGGCATGCAGGTAATGAGGGGATGTGATGGCCTCGTGGAATTACCACTAGACCATTAATCCAGAGACCCAGGTAATGCTCTGGGGACCCAGGTTTCAATTCTGCCATGGCAGATGGAATTTGAATTCAATGATATCTGAAATTGTGAATCAAATGACTGTTGTTGATTGTTGGAAAAACCATCTGGTTGACTAATGTCAACCTACATGTCACTCCAGATCCACAGTAATATGGTTCACTCTTAACTGCCCTCTGAGATGGGACATAAATGTTGTTCTAGTGGGTTCAAATTCCACTATTGAGGATTAAGCTCTGAAACTGTTTTCAGCGTAAGGTGTAGTCATAGAGACCAGTTTGCCCTGAAGTCCTGTCATGACCCATCTTGCTCCAGAAATCCTTATAATTGCTGGAAATGCTCTATTGAGAGTTGGCAGCTTGCTGCTGCCACCTAGAGCCTCAGAGATATACTGCAGCTTCCACATTTCCAGGGAGGCCTGAGGATGCTGGAGCTATGCAGTGCTATGGTGTTGGAGCATTAGTTTTCTCATTTACTCCATTGAGCCAACACATCAGTTGTGGAAAGGGACTGCGTGTCTCAGCATGCTGGTATCCATTTACTTCCCATTCACAGTGAGACATTACGATGAGCTCAACAGTGACTGGCCTGAAGTATGTTTGATGAGTCTCATGCAATCCAGTGAAACATCAACTTGTTTAGGCTATCACAGGACCGAGAAAGGGCTTCTCAAGGACCTTTTCCTGTCAGTCCATACTTGGCCTTAGTTCTTGCATACACTGCCCTAGAGATAGTGCCAGTGCTGCAGAGCCTGTTTTGCGTCTCCACTGTAATATGCCTTTGGAAGAAGGTCTGGAGAGCAAGATGCGTTGCGAGTATTTTAGTGACACAGGACTCTATGGTCCACCGGCTGTTCCCTGGTTTTGAGGCAAATATTGACTGCGCTTGGAAGACCATTGACTTGGTGAAAGAGGCTCTTTGGTCTGTCTGAAATGCCTTGGTCTTCCAGAGCAAAGAGCTGACTGCAAGTGAGTGTTGTGGATTGGCATATTTCACATTCCAGTTCTTGATGCTAAGGGAAGCACTAAAGCTTGGGGTAGCTGCCACCAAGGTGCAGTGGAGAAACGTCATTGTGTAAGACCTTTCCACCGCAATTTTTTGAGGGGCTGTACTCCCTGAGCAGTGCAGCAATCCCTCAGCTCTGACCCTCCAACAGTGCGGCGCTCCCTCAGCACTGACCCTCTGACAGTGCAGCACCCCCTCAGCACTGACCCTCCGACAGTGCCCCCTCCCACAGCACTGACTGTCTGACCGTGCGGCACTCCCTCAGCACTGACCCTCCGACAGTACCCCGCTCCCTCAGCACTGACCCTCCAACAGTGCCTACTCCCTCAGCACTGACCCTCCGACAGTGCCCGCTCCCTCAGTTGCTGAGACTGATGTGGATTATGTGCTTGTGGTTGTTGTTGAGAAGTGGATGGCGCTGGATACTGTGGAATAATGGAACAGCCTCCCTCAGCACTGACCCTCTGACAGTGCCCACTCCCTCAGCACTGACTATCCGACAGTGCGGCACTCCCTCAGCACTGACCCTCCGACAGTGCGGCACTCCCTCAACACTGACCCTCCGACAGTGCCCCCTCCCTCAGCACTGACTCTCTGACCGTGCGGCACTCCCTCAGCACTGACCCTCCGACAGTACCCCGCTCCCTCAACACTGACCCTCCGACAGTGCGGCGCTCCCTCAGCACTGACCCTCCGACAGTGCGGCGCTCCCTCAGCACTGACCCTCCGACAGTGCGGCGCTTCCTCAGCACTGACCCTCCGACAGTGCGGCGCTCCCTCAGTTGCTGAGACTGATGTGGATTATGTGCTTGTGGTTG